CTGCGGTAAGTCCCATTAGGTCGAGATGAATATGATTTGAGCGTACATCATGAATTGAAGAAGAACCCTTGAGACATTTGCTATATCTACTCATAATGAATTTTTGAGAAAGTACGTGCAGACGTATCAACTCCTCTATGTCATCATTAACTCTTCATAAGGAAAAGGATAAGCCGAAAATTCTTCAGTGTTTTATTCAATAGTATTGCTATTTGTTTTTTTCTTTTTGCTGTCTTATATTTTGAATTTTACTCAGAACTCTTGGAACCACATTTTATGCTCTTCAGTCTTTTCTGTCTGGACTTTCATTATTCGACTTTGGCTAAAGATTTAACTTTATTAATTACTCGTTATCGAGCCATTAACAACGAAGTGGCGTTTGACTGAGTTCAAAGTTACGACGTGGTTCAGTTGATATTCGTTGACCTGGAGAATTATGGTCTACTATGATATTACTACTGCTCTAACAATAGACCTAATCCTATAATTGTAGATTTGTCATGATATGACTGTTTAATCTATAAGATCTTACATGGAAATCACATCATCGTCTACATCAACTCGCTGCATCGTAAAAATTACTAACACGTGATAGAGAACAAACGTAGGCTACAGAAAGAACAATATATTTAATGTGAACAAAAGATATAAGGCAACATTCGTCAGGGAACACGCCTGCATGGCCGAGCCATGCCAAACGATCAACCACAATTAATTCAATTCATTTTTCTCGCCCTCTTCATCTTTGGGTTTTTCTCGTGTTAAATACTGAATGTCTATTAAGACCACGTGCCACTACAGACCTCTGACTGTTTCTAGGGTCAGTTGCTTGAATTTTTGCGGATAGATATTTGGTTCTAATCAGCTGGTAATACTCCTACTGACTACCAGATGCCAATTACTTATTTGTTAACAATGTATTTCACTGTTTGTACGTTATTTTGTGTAAGAGAAGCCTTGACTGTATATCACAGACATTGTGCTTCTGACACAATTCGGTTCGCTTTCCTAAATTATAATCGTTTAAATAGAACGCGGGTTTTATGTTTTAACATAATTCAAAACGAGTCACTCAAAAACGGTTTGTACGCTACACAAGTGATCGTAATTTTTTCCAGACGAATTAAGTTTAGTTTACATCAGATGCCGGAATTTCGGTCTTTACACTCCGGACTTTTAAAATAGTTGTGTGGTGAGCTTGAAAGTTTTCCGAAAAGCTAAGTGGGGCAAACTGAGCAGTAGATTGACAGTGATAATGTCCAGTAGCTATTAAAAGCATGTCACATATAGATTAGACAGAAGGTACTGCTTCCGCATCTGTTTTATTGTTTCATATCGAGCTACGCAGTCGTCCACTACAACTCACTGTGACAGTCAAACCATTCGTTTTGAAGCCATGTCAAATCCGCAGCATCGGTTTATTTGTAACTCTTCATGAAGTTAATTTGTGTAGCTTCTGCCGACTTTATGGCTAACGTGGAGAACTTAAAGACTGACTTCTTAACGATTAACGAAAACAAATGAATAAAACAGTTTGCTGACTTATTCCGCGATCATGTGGACACGATGACAGCTGTTCGACAACTACTATGTGTTTAAAAACTGAGAAGAATAACGAATCCCACTAGAACTTCTCCCGGGTTGTGTTGAAAAACGGTGTCTCAGACTTAAGTTCTAGTTGGTGTCCTGTTGAGGCTCTAAATTTATGAGAAGTAGTATTGTCGAGCTAACTTGCGCCGACATTTATATACTCACTAGAACTGTGTCAACTATGCGTCCCTAAAATGCCAGACATTATGTTAGCCACCATCCGAGTCACTGAAATAGCGATGCTGAGTTCAGGAAATATAACCATGGGATAACTTAACAGTATATTGCAGTCGATACTGCATTTCCAAAGACACTTCCAGCCAAGATTAAAAAAGGTTATTCTTCTCCTCATTCAACTGATCAAAACTCGTATTCTCCTGCGCTTAGAATCTGGCCAAAAAAGGAGAAAAAGCAATTATAACCTAATTTCACACATTTTTCCGGCTGGTATACGAGTGAGACGATAGCACTGAGTAAAAGTAAGTTCTTAATAAACCAAGCAATTATAACGATATGATTCTTAACAACCATTCACAAACCACAACAATGAAACGTTAAACATAGCTGAAGCCTCAATATTTCAATAGTACTCGACACCTTGAACTAACCTATTACTTCGTTATCCAACTCCTACTGAAATAAGGATACTGCTGAACCCGATTATGAATGAGAAACAAGGGTTGACTATAAAATTAGCACCCACATCCTGTACACAAAAAACCTACTAAAGGGACGCCAAACAGAACAAAACCAATTCAAATATAGCTATGGAGGCACTGAAGTTTGTAAGTCTGAAGACTGCAAAGATGCCCACACTATTTTCTGAAAGATCTGGGAGAAGGGACAAATACCAGCGGACTGGGAAGAGGGATACCTCATCAATATACCAAAAAGAAGAGATCTGAGCAATTGTGAGAACTACAGATGGATCACACTACTGTCAGTACCAGGAAAAGTTTTCAACAGAGTGTTGTTGAACCGAATGAAAGATTCAGTAGATGTCCAACTTCAAGATCAACAGGCTGGATTTTGTAAGGATCAATCGTGTACTGACGAGATGGCCACACTACGGATCATTGTTGAGCAATCAATTGAATAAAACTCACCACTATATATCAACTTCTTTGGCTATGAAAAAGCATTTGACAGTGTTGATGGGAAAGCCTCATGGAACGTTTCCCGATACTATAGTGTACCTGAGAAGATTTTCACCATCATACAGACTTCTTGTGAAGAACTATGCTGCAAATTCATGCATGGAGGGAAGCTCACAGATGCATTACAAGTGAAGATCAAGGTTAGAAAAGGCTGCTTACTCTTTCCTTTTCTATTTCCTCTAGTGGTTGATTAGACCATTAAGACCTCTAAAGCTCAGAGAAATTACGCAAAACAGTAGATAGTTTTCACGCAACTAGACGATTTGGACTTCGCAGATGACCTAGTTCATATATCCTATACACACAGACAAGTGCGGGCGAAGACAGTCAATTTAGAAAGTCTCTCCAGCATTAGGCCTCAACATACACAAAGGAAAAAGCAAGTTCCTAGAATACGACACAGCGAGCAGCGACCTAACCACATTTGGTGGAGAAGCTATGGAAGAGGTGGAAACTTTTACCTACCTGAACAGTAGCATTGATAAACAAGGAAGATCTGCTGCAGATGTGAAGGCAAGGATTGGCAAAGCCAAGGGCAGCATTCCTGCAATTGAAGAACATCTAGGACTCAAAAACAACTGTCAGCTAACATCAAAGTCAGAATTTTTAATATGAACGCCAAGACAGTTCTACTACACGGAGCTGTGACATGGGGAACTACCAAAACCATCATCAAAAAGGTACAGGTATTTATAAACAGCTGTCTACGTAAGATACTCTAGATCCGTTAGCCAGATACCATCAGCAGCAACCTACTGCGCCGGAGAACAAACTAGATTCCGACCAAAGAAAAAATTAGGAAAAGATGTTGGAAGTGGATAGGCCATAACATTGTGGAAAGTATTAAACTGCATCACATAGTACGTCCTAATTTGAAATCCTCACGCCAAGAGGAAAAGAGGCAGACCATAAAACACATTACGCCGGGAATGGGAGGCAGACATTGACATAATGGACAGCAATTGTCAAAAACTGGAAAGGAGAGCCCAGGACAGTGTTGGGTGGAGAGTCCTGATTGACAGCTCATGCTCAAACAGGGTTAATATATGTGAATGGCATCCAATTGTCACATCGCACAGGCATAGTGAGATAAGATTAGTAGTAAGAATGCCAGAGTAAGAAAAATTAGTAACATCATCAGTAGCAGTGTTTCACATTTTTGTAAAACAACATGATATTCACATCTTGACTGTAATCGTACATGAATTGTGCGTTTTTAAGTTCCTGATTCGTACATTTACGACACTGTGATTTCGTTTTTTGCAACGAATTTCTTGATACTTTATTGTCGCAAGTATTTCATGGTCTATGAACAGCGTAATAAACAAAACTTAATAAATTCTTATACGGTTGATTAGCATAAGGCATTTAAACGATTTAAAATTTAGCATGAGCGATTACCGCTATATGTATACATAAATCTAGAATAAAAACTGCTTTCAGTGAGATTTTTCAATGCAGAAGTAGTAAATCCTGGTATGTTGCCAGTAATTCTTCTTAAATGGCTAATTTAAAAGCGTTTACTTGACAGAAGGTATACTGGGTCAGACTTTTTAAATGTGACTTGCAAACAATTCGCAAATGTTTTGATAATAATCACGCCGGGTATCATAGTTAAGTTGTTCTATTTGTGCCTAATAACATTCCGTTGTAATATGTGACTTTTTTTTGTTTCTATTTAAACGTGACACAACATGTGATGTGATAAACTTAATTTCATGTCAAAAACTGTACCAAGATTATATATATATACAGATGGTTACTATGAGATTTATGGAGTACAATGGTATCGCTTGTTTTGAAAAAAATTGAGCAACTGAAAAATTAACGTTATGTTTAATTATAAACTAGGTTGTATAAATCAATGAATTTTGATGTCAAACATTTTGATATGCTATTATGGTTTATCCTTTGACAAATGAAAATTAATTCCATATAGCGCTAGAATTCAAAGAATTATAAAGAAAGGTTTTATGAAAAACAGATGTTGAGTTTATAAATGATCATATACTGTTATACGGCGTTTTCTGAGTTATGCAGTTTGGTAATTAAAAGTTGAATCACTGACAATTTTAAAGACTTTTTCCACACAGATAACAATAATTCATAGAGCACAATGTGATCGTAGTAATATCGAAAGACAATAAATCGAATGGAAAATCCAGAAAGCAATGTTATGCAAGTGTTTTTGCAGAAATAATAAATAGTCAATTTACTGATAATTATACATAAAAATTATAACTAAAAGGTTACTTATAACAAGAACGAATGAAAAGCAGAATCAGTGTTTGTGGTAACAGCATATGGATCTTCATCTAAACATTGACCATGAAGACAATATGCTAAGCTACTTATAAAATCAACAAAACAGGATCATAAAAATTCGCTATATACAGTGAACTGTTTATATAGTTAGCATACATCTACAGGCGAAATTCAAATGTCATTGCTCAGATGTTAGTTAAAATAACGATAGCTTACAGCTAGATCACATTTCACAATAATTACTTTCATGCTATAACATGGTGCCTATTTTCATTCCTTGATGTAACTGGTGGTTAGTGTATCAAAGGTTTTAAAATTCGATCGATTACATCCTAAACTCTTAATAGTTGTTCATTTATAGAAAATAGGGTCACGACTCGTGACTTCCTACATATTCATCATATGCCTAGTCACGGAACGATATCGTTTGGATAAGAATTTCCACCCTTCTATTCACTGATAATCACCTCTAAAACAAACAAGATATAGATTTTCATTCATCCAACTAGAATGATGTGCATCACTTTTAAGAGCGTATTGCTCACATGCACTGGAAGACTTATGCGTATACAGAGTCAAGACATTTGCGGACAGCAAATTAATTCGAGAAGAGAATACCAACGTGCAGATACTTAATATATATATATATATGACTAAGAGAATCAGCCGTCATAAGTCGAAGAAACTATTCACCACAAAAATGTGCGAAAGCCTACAATACAACAGTTACAAAATTAATTACTCTTGCTAAATAAACCAAAAATCTAATTAAATAAAGAACCTCTAGTTACTTTAACACGAAAATAGGGGGGAAATCACTCTCATTTGACGGGATAAGTTGGTTTTTATTGTCTACATACGACCACTGATCCTGACATAATTAAACATTTAGGAAAAGCCTCTGAAAAAGCCTCAAAAAAGTTAAAAATAGTTACAATCCCTTAAACAATTTACTTTTCTTTCTACTCCTGAATAACACGAACTTATTTATGCGAAATAACAGTAATCAGATGGTGAACAGTTTAGTCCAGCTAAAAAAAACCAATAGATGTAATTAAGACAATGGTACCTTGGATGCTGACAGTTAATATGATAGACGTAATCCAAAGCTACAGACCCATCCAAATCGTTTAAATCAATAGAATCCATTGTATTGGAATTTGATTTGTCATAGACGGTCTCCCCAGTCTTCATCGTTCTGTGGATCGGTGATGGAGGCTTGAAAACATCATCCTCATCATTAGTTGACTGAATGTGATTATCGTAAGAAAAATTCTGGGTCGATTCAAGTTGTTCTGCTCGAGGTATTTCTGTCATCTTAGGAATTAAAAAATGTTGGATATTAGAATTGTAATCTAAAATTACACATTATCGTTTACTTACTAGACATTTACAACAAGAAAAGTGTCTAACATTGATGCATAAATTTCATGCAAGTTATAAAAAAAGCCACTCAGATTACGGAGAGCGCCCGAAGACGAAATCGTCGAACCGAGTAGTATATTACCAATTCGCCAGTATAAACTGCTAAGGAGAACTCAGATTACTTACATGTTATCTTTTTTCTTAAAGAATAATCTCGATGACATTTTTCTAAATTATATTTCAGTAGTGATCTACACTGTTATCAGATTAGTTGTTTTTAATTACAGGCTGCTAGTTGTCTTATGCATCCCAACGTCAATGAGTGTTACTTTGTAAATGGAGTTGTTGAATTTTTGATTTTTGGTTCGAAAGATAACGTTGTCCTAAAACGTCCCTTCTCTATTAAGTGCGTGGATCATTACCGTTGAAGCGTTTTTCTTAGACGTTCAGTCTGTCAAGTTCTCATTAGTCTTGTTAGCATTAAAAGATTCTCAAATTACCGTAGGCCCAACCTAAAACCAATCACAATTACATTATAAAACTTAAAATAAACAAACAACCAACCGACAATTGATAAACACTGATAAAAACAAGTTCAAAATCTGCTTCCAGGTTTTAAAGTCCTTTTATTAACGAAGTATATATATATATATATAACTATCCTATCAGGCTTTTTAAACTTCGTAGATGATTGACAGGTTCACTATTATTTTTTTTTAAATACTAAAACAACTCTGCCTGAGGTTTTTCTAGGGTCAGTAATCTCATTCCGTGAAAAAGAACTTTGCTAAGAAACGACAGCCAGAAAAAATCATTTTAATCATTTTAAATCTGCTCAAGGAGTACAAGGGGCAACATTTAGAAGAGTTATGATGCCTTATGATAAAAGCCGAGATTCTTCAGAAGTCACGAGGCCGATTGTTTTTCTAAAAATCAGAGCAACAATTAACATAGGTACATTGGATGTCGCCACAATGTAGGAGACTGAGAGGACCAGTCAAGTTGTTGAGGAAATGAGATAGAACCTGGAGGAGCTTGGAACAAGCAAAAACCGTTAGAAGCAAGCTGGATAGAAAAGATAAGCTTCGAGCGAGGTTCTGTTGTACTCTGATCATGAAGAAGAAAATGTCTCGTGTATATAGGTAGTTGCACTGATGTTCTTCAAAGAAACATGAAAAGCACTTATAGTATCGGAATCTCATGGATTCAGGATCATCAAAGCATCTTTCAAAACAGCTTTTATGTCCGAATGTATTCCTGATCTTTTGTTTCGCTTTCTTCCAGCATCACGTTTGCATTGCTTAGCCATGGCGTTTCTTCTTACGGCTGAAACAAGTACGCTTTTTTCAAGTTCATACCTTCCTTGTACCGAGCACCGTTCATCAGGTACTTTGTGATAGTCGTAAACTTGCCAGACAGTTACGTTGCATAAGCAGCACCACAAGTTTAGCACAGAAATGTGAAGTTTCGGTTAGGTGTATGTTCTCCAACGTCATAATTTCTACAAGGCGCCATTTTTGTACGGATTGTAACGACTGCGAAATCACAATACTGCACTAACATGCAAGCATATTTATTCAGTAGTTAATATATCGGCATGAATATTCTGTTATACGATTCCGCTGATTTTATCTAATTTAAAGGCCTACCTGGGTAGCTTCTCATCTGTTAGCCCATGTTGCAAATTATTGATCGTGCTTATATAAATGATATGAACCTGCTATGTCAAAAATCAGCCTATCTCTGAATTCATTACTACAGTTGACCATGATCCTGTCGGGCACTTAGGCACATGCAGGTCAGTACGGTACAGTAATAATGAAATCCAGTTTAGAGTAAATCGGAAAATTGAAAATAGAGATCATTTTAAAACTTCCAGTTCACAGAACTAACGAGCGAATCTACCTACATTACCATATTTCGGAACAGTGAACATCAACTCTGGGATAAAGGTACATCCAGCTGACGAGTGTCCTGGATCCCGCTGCTGGCCATCATACATCTTTGCTTATAATGCTTGTGACCCAAGGCAACACCAAGGCAATCCGCACAGGATGCATATATGCCAATAAAAAAACGATCAATTGCAGTCCTAAACATCAATGGGATGATTCAAACGAACAACACAGTGATAGCTATCGTTTCCAACTACAGAGTACAGTTATCTTTTACACCCCGATTAAAATGTACGGCATATGAAGACAGTATTTGGCTTCAAAAACTGTTGGAATCTCTTGATATCCTCACCTCTGTTCTCATTCTAATCTGTTCATCTAGAATTGAGCACTTCATATCGATGTTAACAGTGATTGGAAGTGCTTAAAACCGATGGGAATCACTCCAGTCAATGGAAATTAACGGCCTTATTGATCGACTTACTAACCCCACTTAACGTTTTACGCCTGACAGTCATACCCGTTTGTAAACAAGCAGTCTTAATGAGAAAACCGAATTAGGCTGAACTGCTTGTGAAACAACACTGCTGAAGTCCCATAAATGCTTAACAATCAACTACGAATAGTTTCACCTGATATAGTAAATATCTCCATAATTTTCTCTAGATTGAATGAACTCATGTTAAAGACAACTTGAAATATATTAAATCTTAATATACAATAAACTGCACAAGATACAGAAGTAGTGGCTTAGTACTTAAGCTATTCCACTTTCGGCCACTAAGTTCCAAGTTCGAACTCCGCTCCATTTCCTTCTGTCCGGACAGCCGGGTAATATCATGAGACCTCACACTCTGTATGGCTCATACTCAAGTACCTGGTGAATGAGTTTGTTCAATTTATTTAAGTATTATCAGACAAAAATTACTAACCCATTTTATTAGCAAGCATGTGAAACATATGATTATAATTCTATAAATTACGGGGTATAGCTGGACCACTACGTCTTCACAATAAGCTAATAAACGTACTTTCTCTTCGAAACATTTTTATACTTACCGTATAGTTCGCTATTCCAACAGACAACAACAACTATTTAGATAACAAAATTTATCGAAAACATATCTCACCTCTTCCACGCGAATGGGTCTTTGGTCGAAAAACCCTCTTAGATCCTGACGGAAATAGTGGATAAGGCTAGGCCCGAAAGGCCCGGCAGCACGAAGAAAGGATAAAGGATTAAAGGGACGGAATATTTGACGGAAAGTCGAAAATATCCATGCTTGAGCTGCACCTACATTCGACTGATCTTTAACTTTTAAAGGATCCTCGACAAAACCCCAAGGATCTGCTAAGATCAAATGAACAATCCTAATTAAAAAGAATAAAAAGCATTGACAATTTTTAGTAAGCAAAATCATTATTTTAATGCTATTCATACAACACTCAAGTATTTTATAAACACAATAAAGTATTTCACGACGTATAAATTCCAAGCTGATACAATATCGAACCTAGAACAATAGTGCACTAGCCCAAGTCTCTATATTTCAAAACAGACATAAAAAAGACAACAGAAACAAGACTAAGTAAAAAAATAAGTGGGTCCGAAGCAAAGAACGTCAGTAGAGCTGGCCTACTGGTGGTTTAAAGAAGCATTATTACAATTTTACTTAACTCAGATTGGAAACAAATTCTTTCATGAAATGAATCAATTCCGAAGCATAGTAACTCAGTGAACTTCTCTAATATTTTTATTCATTAATAATATTTATGTTCGAGATGGACGAATAGGAATATACTATAAACATTCTGCATCACAATCTTCTTGAATAATTTAAATATTCCATCCGCAGAATTATGTTCATTCAGTGCTTTTAACTGTTTGGATAGATAACGTTATGAAAGTATTCCCTAGATTTAATAACCACGTCTTACAAACACTTAGTAGTCAATCATAACCATTGTATAGTCTAGCATATGGTTGCACAGCAAAATGAAGTTAACAAGCATAATGCCAAATGAGTTCATATTATAGCAGTATTAATGATAATGAGAACGACTAAACATTAGGAATATGGTTCTAAAGAGTATAAAGACAGGATATGAATCAGTCACAACGTAGAACCTGATACGTATGTACATCGTTTCAAGTCTCCATAAACCATTAGCGCAAAGATGAGATTTTCGGGCCAAATCTCAGAAAAGTAGAGGTAGTAACAGTACCAGTGGTAATAGGAAGGGTTTGGGACTGGAGATACGAGGAAATTTAGAATCTCAGAATTTTGGGGAAGACAAAGAGTGGATGTATTTGCGTCACTGCAAACGGTCGTGAGCTATGTCATTCAAAGTGTCTAACCACTGATCACGATAATCAAGCGGAAGGGAAACTTAAATTCAAGATTTAGAGGAAGATAAACAGTAAGTGCATTTGGGCTAGTGTGACTGGTCCTCAACTGTTACTCGACATCTACAATTGATGATTGCGGCTATCTCGTAGAACTCGATCAGGTAGTCTGAACTTACCAACAGTTAATTATTTCATGAATTCATGCCAAGTCTTGGTTTAGACGTCCCTATGTTTATTACAACCAACTCCCATGTTAACCAGCGTTGCGCGTCAGAGTATGAGGTGGTTGGGTAAATATAACACGTTTCAACCATCCCGATCGGTAGATTTAGTCTGACTGCTTGATTTCCCATAATCACCTAGTACAACATATCTCACTTGATTGTTCCTCCATACGCGAGGAAGATACTTATGATCAAACACTTATATCCTATATAAGGCTTCTACATTTATAAACCGTGTTTCTCACGGTTAGGGTGTACGTGTATTTTTGGACTTACAAATTGCAAATCATAACTCCACCTGTAGCTCTTCTAGATCTAATGCCAGTCCAAAGCCCACAACAAGGAGAAGGGTTGTGCGTGGGGTCTGCAACCACATCCCGTAGAAAACAATCTTGCTAAAAAAAACGCCGATCAGATTAAACAAGTTGAACCATTAAAGCTCTGCCCTCTGAGTTGAAGGGAGAATTATAATGCCTCAGGATGAAAGCCAAGATTCTTCGGAGGTCACGAAGCCGATGTCCCTTCTAACAAATAGGGCAACAATTTTTATAGGTACACGGAACGTTCGGACAATGTGGGGGACCAGGCGGACCAACCAAATAGCTGTGGAAATGAGGAGGCACAACTTGGCGATGCCCAGAATAAGTGAAGCACATTTGACCCAAGCTGAACAGATAAGCCTAGATACGGGAGAGATGCTGCTGCACTCCGGTCACGAAGAGGTAATAGCTCCACACACTCAAGGAGTTGCTCTGATGTTGTGCAAAGAAGCAAGAAATCCACCTGTACGATGGGAATCTCATGAATCCAGGATCACCAGAGCATCCTTCAAAAAAGGAATGGGATCACTATGAGTGAAATCCAGTGTTGTGCACACACCAAAGAAAACAACGACAACAATAAAGATCAGTTCTATGAGAGGCTACAATCAATCATAGCTAAGTGCCCAGGAAAAGACCTGACCATCCTAATGGTAAACCTAAACGCCAAAATCGGAATGGACAACACTGGATATAAAGATATCACGGGATGACATGGACTGTGGAAAAGCAACAAAAATGGTGAGACATTTGCAAATTTATGTGAATTTCAAAATCGTTATAGGCGGCACAATATTACGAAACAAACACATACACACAGCTACATGATCCACACCGGATCACGCCACGGAGAACCAGATCGATCATATTTGCTTCACTCAAAAATTCAGAGGGACAATGGAACACGTGGGAACCAGGAGAGGAGCTGACGCAGCTTCAGATCACCACCTAGTTGTGGCCAAGATGAAACCGAAACTAAAGAAACCCTGGACAGCTGGAGAAACAGCAGTACAGAGGTTCAATACAACCTTCCTTTGACATACTGACAAACTCAACAAATTCAAGATCATTCTCAACAATTGGTTCCAAGCCCTACAAGATCTACTCAAATAATGAGAAGAAACTACTATGGAGAACAGCTGCGAAGGGATCAAAGAAGCATTGACTTCAACGTGTCAGGAGGTTCTGAGCCGAAAGAAGCATCATCATAAGTAATGGATCTTTATGGAAACCCTAGACAAGATTCAGGTAAGGAAGAACAAAAAGACTGCAATAAACAACAACCGAATAAGAGCAGAGAAAGTCAAGGCACAAGCTGAATGCACAAGAGCAAACAAGCAAGTGAAGAGCAGCATTAAGGCCGACAAGCGTAAATATGTGGGAGACCTAACAACGACAGCGGAAAAAGCTGCAAGAGAAGGGAATATGACACGGCCATATGACACAACGAAGAAACTAGCAGGGAAATTTAGTAAACCAGAGAGATCAGTCAAGGACAAAGAAGAAAAACAAATCACCGAGATTCAAGAACAGACGGGTGGAATACTTCGAGGAACTCTTGAATAGACCAGCTCCACTGAACCTTCCGGACATGGAAGCAGCATACACAGACATTCCCATAGATGTCACTCCACCAATGACGGAAGAAATCAGCATGGCCATCAGACAAATCAAAGAGTGAGAAAGCAGTAGGACCTAACAACATACCGACTGAAGCAATGAATTCAGACATGCAAGTAACTGCAAGCATGCTCCACGTTCTATTCAGAAAGATTTGGGAGGACGAACATGTACCGATAGACTGAAGGGAAGGACACCTCATCATAATACCAAAGAAAGGAGATCTGAGCAAATGTTAAAACTATAGAGGTATCACACTACTATCTGTACCAGGAAAAGTTTTTAACAGAGTATTGCTCAGCCCGGTGAAAGATTCAGTAGACGACCAGTGTGGGGATCAACAGGTCGGATTCCGTAAGGATCGACCGTGAACAGACCAAATCGCGACACCATGGATCATCGTTGAACAGTCATTGGCTATGAGAAACAATTTGACAGCGTGGATAGGAGGACATTGTGGAAACTTCTTCGACACTATGGTGTACCTGAGAAGATCGTCAACATCATCCAAAATTCATACGACAGACCACAGTGCAAAGTTGTGCATGGTGGACAGCTGAAAGACGCATTCCAATAGAGGACCTGTGTCAGACAAGGCTGCTTACTCTCTCTTCTCTTTCTTCTGGTGGTCGATTGGATTATGAAGACCTCGACATCTGAGGGAAAGCATGCAACACAATGGACAGCTCAGAATCACCTAGAAGATCTGGACTTAGTAGATGACCTGGCCCTTCTATCCCATACACACCAACAAATCCAGATAAAGACAACTAGTGTAACAGCAGCCTCTGCATCAGTAGGCCTCAGCATACACAAGGGAAAAAGCAAGATCCTCAAATACAGCACGGAAAACACCAACACAATCGCACTTGATGGAAAAGATCTAGAGGATGTGGAATCTTTCACGTCGCCCTCAAATGCACTGGTACGGCCGAAAGTGGGGAGAGTGAACTGTCCCTCTCGAAATACACTCACATGGTGACGGGTACGCCAACATTATAAGGGAATTCCTACTCACTGCCTTCTCGCGGCGGGGGTGTAGTTTACGACTGAGAGGACAAAAAGAGAACATCCGGCGCTTCAACCGGATTGGTTGGTACGGAACATCCACTCGGTAGAGATGAAAAACCCTGATTCTAAACCAATGGTGCACATGGGCTCCAGGATCCTGAGGGAACAAATTGCAAATGAACCAAACGTTGGACACCAGCTGCCATGTGACTGTATCTCCTGACGTTGCTCCACTGCCTTGTGGTCAGAGACTCCGCGTGTGGCCTCCTAAGAAAACCACCTGTTTCGATCTGGCCACTCGGGCAGTATCACAGCCCACACACAAATAAAATGAAATGACGATAATTACTGAAAATACTACTCTCGCCTCAATTAAAACTCAGACAGTTCACATTCATTTTTATTTTTTATATACTACGACACTTATCAACTCTCTTTTATTCCCACTTTATGTATCGCGATTTTTCAACTCATACAACAGCTTGCCTATGGTGGAAACTCTGTTCTATCTAAACGATCTCGAGTCACTGACTGGTCGAAAGTTGAATCCTACCATCGACTACAAATACTGACCCAATGTTTCTTAAATCGAATAAATACCATTCAAAATGGCCTTTTTCAACGTTTGCACACTAATGCGAATCGGACAACAGATAGGGTTGACTGTGTCTTTAGAAAGTCTCAACATTTATGTCTGTTGTCTATCCAGGACTTTTATTCAACACTAGTGAAGTGCTACAAATTAGCTCTCCATTTATCGCTTCGAAAAGCCTGTTTTACGTGCGTTTATCCGGGGACCCTGTGGCATCTTTGTCTGGTTATGCGGACGTTGGTGTCGCACTAAAGCATATAAAATGGACTCAGAATCCGTATTTTGATATAATTTAATACGAGTA